GCACCCAGGCAGAATTACACTGGTGCCAGTAAGTTCCCAAGAGCAGCAAGAGAGGCCCAACTCCAACACACAGCTCATCTTCAAGTCTCTGGTTGTGCCAATTTGCTAATTATTCCATTGATCAAAACAAAGCTCCCAGCTGAGCCCTGAGTTAGTGAGAGAATGGACAATCCAAGGGGGTGGACAAAGGGCAAGAAATTACTGTGACCATTTCTGGAAACAATCTATCAGATGTGGCTGTTTAAAATGAAATGGTCAAAAATTCTTTGACACCCACTGAGAGGTGTGATCTATGTCCCCAACCCACCACTGGGCAACTTGGTGGTCACTTTGACTTAGAGTCCAACAGAAGATATGTACACCATGTGATCTTTCAGGCGACTCTGGGCTTCCTCTTGGACCTCTGGAACTCAGGCTGTCAGGGTGTCACCTCTCTCTCAGAACCTAGTGCCATGCTAGGAAAAGCCCAAACTTTGTTTACCCCTCCTAAGTGTGTGTGTGTGTGTGTGTGTGTGTGTGTGTGTGTGTGTGTGTGTGTGTGTGTGTGTGTTTTGGGTGAAGGTTGTCAGGCAGCAAGAATAATTGAAAAACACACCCATCACAACATGCCCGCCTTCATGTTTTTTTCAAGCGGAACAAGCCAGTAACAGATGAAATTTGACTACCAATAATTTTGTTTGCCTTTCTGAGATTTAGAAAGATTTTTTTAAAGTATTTTTAAACAATTAGCATAGAATATGCAGACATTATACAATAAAGCAGAAGCTTTATCTCTCAACATTTTTTCTTTGGGTTATTATTTTTTGTGTGTCTGGGTCTCATTCTGTAGCCCAGGCTGAAGTCTAGTGGCATGATCATGGCCTACCACAGCCTCAACCTCCCGGGTTTAGGCAATCCTTCCCCATCAGCCTCCTGAGCAACTGGAACTATACTACCACTTGATTTTTTGCAGACACAAGGCCTTGCTATGTTGCCCAGACCCTGTCTCAAACTAAGTGATTCTCCCTCCTCAGCTTCCCAAAGTGCTGGCCTTTCAGCAAAATTCTTAACTGTACCTAATTATTTATGCGATCACTAATGAATTAATTCAACAAATACATATTAGATGTTGGACACTATTTTATTTGCTGGTCATGCTGCAAGGAACCAAACTAAGGCTCTGTACTTATAGTATATATATTTGGCAAGGGACTAGATACAATTAAAAAGTATGTAACAGTGGGGCAAAAAAAATTATTGAGTGCTTACTATCAGGAACCATTATAAGAATGTCAGACACTGATACATGGCTGACACCTCACCAAAACCTATGAGATCTGTTATTATTATTATTATTCCATTATTATTATATCCATTATGATTATTCCCATTTCCAAGGGAAAAAATGGAGGTGCAGAGAGTTATGTCACTTGTTGTTTTTTGTTTAGCCATCGGAAACCACATGATAAACCAGCAAGAGTAGGCTCATGGATACGACCCAAATCATGAACCAGGAAAAGACAGGGCTTCCTCTATTAAACCAATTCTACCCTCATCTCCAGCACTTATATACCTACCATGTGGCAGGTATCGCACCAGGTTCTTGACACACTGCCAAGAACAGAATGGCCACATCTCTTATCCTCAGTTTACCCACGTATGTGCACACTTGAGATCAGGTATCTAAGCTATTCTTCTTTTAGAAGATAGAATCCCTTGGCACTTGTAGCACATTTTCTCCATATTCTAAATAGCCACCAAGTGCCACAGACACAAGAAGGTGCCTGTGACTATTCATAAAACAACCAGTTTCCAAAAATTTCCAGTTCATAACACTCAATCAGAACTCCTCAAACACGAATGTATAAAAGTCATGACCTCAACCAGCCTTCAGAAAGTAAGAAAAGTATCATCTCCCTTTAGCCAGACATCCAGATGTACTTCTGTATTTCTACCTCTCGACTGGAGCAAAGGTTTGCCATCTTCTGTATTAGGAACACCTCCCTTCTATTGACACCGACCTCAGGGAACGCATAGTTTTCAAGTGAGTTCCAGACTTAGTTGATCTCTTTTAGAAAAACAAGGATAAGTTAATGGCCTTTCTTTTCCACTTCCTGGTACACAACTGACTGGAGGAATTTTGTGCCTTTTGTGGGGTGACCATTTTAACCAATAACAATCTTATGCTCTCTCTAGGCAGCTGCTGGAAGAGGAAGTGAAATGACTTCCTACAAGATGGCAAGTCTCATTTTCCTTTCTAAGCTACAAGAAGCCAACTTTTGACAGCGGGAAGAGAACACAAGTGGGTTGACCCATTGCTTTAAATTCCCTTAAACTGAAAGGCAGCAACTCCCAGTGACCACCTGTGAGTCAGTTCTCTATCTGCATGGGATGAAATTTCCTGTTTTCACCACTAATGTGCTCCATTCCTTTCCAAAGTAAGAGATACTCTGAAATACCAGGGAGTTCCCACTACCACAAATCGCAATATAATTGCATTGTGGGAACAAACAGTAACAAACACCATATGAAATCCATTTATGAAGACAGACTCATCTTAATTGGAAAAGAAGTGAAGGTTTAATATTTATTCTCCATGGATACAGCAAGAATCAAGGGATAAGAAGACATTTGTGTTTAGAACGTAAACATCAAAACTTAAAACCAAAGTTATTTTCTAATACTTGGAATCATAAAGTAATCCTGAATTATTTTCCTGGAATCCTCAAGAGTAACATTGATTAAATCATTCCAGAATGTTTAGCTATAAAGCCTATAAAGAAAACAATGGTAAATTCATCCTCATTTTAAGAAAATACTGCTTTATTAATTTAATAACTAGAGTTAATTTGTCTTCTAAAAAGAAAGTGCTATGGATTCATGAATGTCTTTCAGAATAAAAAGTCATCCTTCTTCCAAATGATAGGCGTAAAACTGAGGCACACCTCTTCCTAGACAGCTCTCACCAGCTACCACATTTTTTTTTTTTTCAGGATATATTGAGAGGACTGAGAAGCTCCCACAGTGGGAGGGGAGCTGAAGGGGTTGCCTGCTGCCACACATTTCACAGGGACTTTGCCTAACACCTTGGGCAGGAGTTATAATCATTTGCCTTTGGTTATAACATACAAGGTTTGCATGAGGACTTTGGCTTCCATATGGGGCACACCAAACCATTCAACCTAAGTAGCACTATTCTATTCCGTTTCATATTAGAACATTCCCTTCAAGACGCTTCTCTAATGCTGATACATTCTTCCAAGTATAGATAACTCCAACACATGGCATGCAAAAATGTGTCGTTAGGCAAAGTGAAATGAAAAGGTGAATTATTTAAGAATGCCAGACTGCTGGAAATGGGAAGAACCATGGAATTCAGCCAATTCAATCCCATTGTTTCAAAGATGAGAAAACCTTAGCCCTAGAAGGTTACTCCATGAATCATGATTTTTTTTTTTTAAATCAGCTGCATAATTTGCCCAAATGACCTAAAATGATTATTTTCAAGTGGCATTCCTCTGGTTCTAGGGCTGGTCAGAAAGTTCTCAGAGGCACCAGGGGTACAGAGGTTTCATCTCCTCTTCAACCAGTTCAGGGCTTATCTGATCTGTTTCATCTTTGGGGTTCAGCATAACATTCCATTTGAAGAAGAAATGTCACTATAAAAAGACTCATGAGCACACTTGGACACTTTAGTCAATTCTCATTTTTTTTTCCAGTCCAAACTTAGATTGTTTTCATTTAAACAATCTCAATAGCACCATGGGATGGTGAAGCAGCCAGGGTCAGTAGGAGGGTCACTCCTGAGACCCTCGGAAAAAAAAAAAAAAACGAGGACAGAAGAGGACAATCAGACTTTGGCTGGAGGCGCACAAAGCTCTGAGTTGCCACCTTAAGTTTTCCAAATGAACCAACCAATAGTCAACAGGAGCAGAGACCCCAGGGAAGGGCCATGGGTACTGCAGGACCAAGCACCAACGATGGTGCCATGCTTGTCACAGCCACCGACAGCAGCATGCAAGGATCACATGGCCCACGTGGGAAAAAACCCTGGGCCCGAAGCTGTCATAAGCAGGTCTCCTCTGATTTTGTTCATTTTTTCACCTTTCACAGAGGACATTTCACTTCCACATCACAAATCATGTCTAAGGGAGGCTAATAAATCAGTGTTTTACCCCCATAAGCGTGTCACATTCCAGTCACCTAAAGACACTGGAAGAGAAACAAGAGTCCTCAAAATAAAATCTAAAGTATGATTCCCCTCCTTTGACTGAGGTCCAAAAGCTATTCATTTAAAGTCAACTATTGATATTTTGTTTTTAATCATTGAATAAACATTTTGTTCAAGAAAATAACCCTTACAGAAAACTTTTTCACACTGGATTAGCTTAAAGATGTATAGAATATTTTTAAAAATTAGAAAAACACTAATTTCTTCAGCAGACTTCTCGAGAGATTTCAAAGATGAAGATTTTAAGTGATCTTTAAAGAGATTTCAAAACTACATAATCTTATAAAGCAATCTGAAACACAAAAGTTAAAACTCTAAATATAAGACAAGAAACATATATATATATATATATATATATATATATATATATATATGTATGTATTTTTTTTGAGCTGAAGTCTTACTCTATCGCCCGAATTGGAGAGTGCAGTGGCACAATTATGGCTACCACAGCCTCAACCTGCTATGCTCAGGCGATCCTTCTGCCACAGCTTCCAAGTAGCTGGAACTACAGGTGCGCACCACCACCACGCCTGGCTGATTTTTACTTATTTACTATAGAGATGCGGTCTCGCCAAGTTGCTGAGGCTGGACTTAAACTCCTGGGCTCAGGCAGTCATCTCATCTTCATCTCCCAAAATGCTGGGAATACAGGCCTGAGCCACCGTGCCTGGCCTAAGAAACATATTCTTATACTATCTCTTGAAGACCCAAGTATCTAAAACATTCTACTATAAACATGTTTCACTCTTCTGAACTCCTTGAAAAAGGATTCAAGTAAAATACTCACAGTTACTGATCACTCCTCCCAGGGGGTCACCTTTAAAGTCAAATTCAATATCCATATATTTGCCCTGCCAAAAAAAGACTTTGTGAGTTTTCAAGTTCACCTCAAAATCTTCCTTCAGTGTACTTCATAGAGAATAGCATACGCAGTCAATATTTTAATGCATTTTTTCAAAGGTAATTAAGGAAGACACAGCTTATGTAACCATACTGCAAAACAATATACCTCTATAAATAATTCACACTAAATACTCCATTAGCTCTAAGCTAATAGAACTCATTGCCAATTTAAGAGTAGGTTTTCTCAGTTGTTATGTGACTTTTCCACTTCAGATATGTGTTGTAAACTTCTGAAGGGTATGTGTACTAAATTCAAAATAAAAACTGGGAAAAAAATAAGTAGTCCTTGTATATACATTGGTTGGGGAGATAAATTATTTCTTTTTTGAGTTGGAGTCTCACTCTGTCGCCCAGACTAGAGTGCAGTGGCTGCTCCCAGCCACCATAGCCTCGACCTGCTGGGCTCCGGCGATCCTTCCGCCTCAGCCTTCCGAGTAGCTGGAACTATAGGCACGTGCTACCACGCCCGGCTAATTTTTTTTTTATTGATTGTAGAGATGAGGTCCCGCCAAGTTGCCCGGGCAGGTCTTGAACCCATGGGCTCAGGCAATCCACTCACCTCAGCCTCCCAAAGGCGCGGGATTACAGGCTGAGCCACCAAGCCTGGCAATTATTTCATTTTTTATAGGCAAAATGTGTTCTAAGTCATGGCCAGAAACTCCAAACATATTAGATGGCCGATGATATGCAACACTCAGAGATCTATTTTTATGTCTTCTAAAATCAAATACAAGATTATGTGGTGTGATCAGCTTAGAATCAAAGGTCGATCATTATTACTTTTTTGGCGCTTGACTGAGATTCTACAGCAACACATAACCCGGGTTCATATTACACTTTACAGATGCTATCTTAAACACACAGAGAGATATATGGAGTTTCATTTGGTGACTTTTAGAGAATTGGTCTATAATTGCCTAGTTAAAGAGTAACAAGTAAAACAGAATAGCTCTGACAGCTGTTTCTTGTTTGGAAAAGGGTATGTTGAGCTAGTAAATCAAATCTTGGTTTGGTTCCATGTCTTAAGAATTACTTTACTCTAATTTTCAAGATGATGGTAAGGGAGAGGAAACAAGATCCCACAGAACACAGTCAACGATGCAATGTGTGACTTTTCATTAGTGTGGGTATGCTCCCTCACCTCTCTCCTCCTGGTCCTGGACCTTCTTCCCTCTTAGGTCTCTACTTCCTCATAAAGAAATGCCTCAGGCACTCCTTTGAAGGTGAAGAAGGCACAAGGGAAGGAGCGGCACAACTCCTGCCTTCACGGAGTTTACTGTCCGGTGGGGAACGGAGACAGGCCAACAGGACACTGCGGGCAGGAGGGTACGTCCCAAGGGGATCATGGTGCTAGTGCAAAGAAGCCGGGACAATGGAAGAGCAGGAAGTGTGTCCTCATGGATCTGCAGTCTCCAGAGAGGTGAGGAAGGCAGGGAGGTAAGAAAGAGGGCAGGAAGGGCCAGGCATTAACAACTAGCATCCAGCCACAATCTCAGCACTGCAGGAGGCCGAGGCAGGAGGAGTTCAAGATCAGTCTAGGCAATATAGTGAGATCTCATTGCTACAAAAATGAGAAGAAATTAGCCAGGCATCGTGGCACGCGCCTGTAGTCCCAGCTACTTGAAAGTTGAGGCAGAAGGATCACCAGCCCAGGAGGTCACTATACTCCAGCCTGGGTGACAGAATGAGATCCCACTCAAAAAAGAGAAAAAAGAAAAAAGTAATCTGTGAGAATGGTGAGGGGGAGACAAGACTGGAGGAGAAGTTGGAACAATCGATTTTGAGACACACTCCTAGCAGCAAAGTCCTAGACAGGACTCTATGATCAGACCTGCCTATTGGCCAGTGGAGGGGACAGGAAAGGAACAGGACTAGACGTAGCTGACAGGAGTTGGCTCAGGGATCAGGGGAGAAATGCTGGTGGTTTTAAGTAGCAGCAGTGAGAGAGAGAAGCAGACAGAGCTGAGAGGTATCCAGAGAGGCACAGCGATGGTCCAGCTTGGGCACAGGAAATGAGAGAGAACAGAAAGTCCAGGAATGTAGCCTGGGTCACTGAGTGGACAGTGAGACCTTCCATGACAGTGGGGACCCAAGAGGCGAAGCAGCTGCAAAGGAAGGGAGGAATGGCTGACCACAGGGTGAGGGTGAGGTCATTTTGATAGAAGACGGTCCTGGGCACAGGAGGTGATGGGGTTTAGGGTACAGGGGGAGGGGTTCATGAGACAAAAGGGTGCCTGTGTAGACATACTGAGACAGGAGGGTAGGTGTATGTGTAGACATATTGAGACAGGAGGGAGGGTGCCTGTGTAGACATACTGAGACAGGAGGGTAGGTACATGTGTAGACACATTGAGACAGGAGGGTACATGTGTAGACATACTGAAACAGAAGGATGCATGTGTAAACACTGAGATAGGAGAATGCATGTAGAGACACTGAGACAGGAGGACAGGTATGTAGACAACTAAGACGAAAGGGTGCATGTGTAGATATATGCCCAGGGGAGGCACTGGGAAGCAGGATAAACTCAGTTTGGGGGCCTGCATGGGATGGTGATGACAACAGTGGTTTCTGTGAAGCCAGAATCACATCAGGAGCTGAGAGCAAGGAACAGGAGGTTTGAAGAGTATAGAAGAAGCCCAGAAGAGAATGGGAAAGGAAGCCACCGAGGGATGGACCCACCCATGGCCAACCCTGAGGCCTGGGCTTGCAGTGGGTAATATTCTTCCTATTCAGCTCTTTCCTGACAACTCACCGAGAGCATGGTTCTGATCATATCACTAGTCACTCAGCAACAGGCAGTGGCTCCTAATGTCTATGAAATAACTCAGCCTGAGGCCTGAGCCTGACATGCAAAGCCCTCAAGTGGCGACCTGGGCCCAAGTGTACATCCTCTGTCCTGTGGTCCCCTTTATACACCCTCTGGCCCAGTGGCCACCAGCTCTGGCAAATGCAGGTGGCCATGACCTCTCTTCAGGCTTCCTCATGTCAGAGGAATTCATTAAAGTCCAGCTCCTTGAAGTCCAGAAATTCATCCCAGAAGATGGGGCATGGTGGCTCATACCTGTAATCCCAGCACTTTGGAAGGCTGAGGTGGGAGGATCGCTTGAGCCCAGAAATTCAAGACCAGCCTGGGCAACATAGCAAGACCCCATATCTCTACAAAAAAATGAAAAAATAAGCTGGGCGTGGTAGCATGTGCCTTTAGTGCCAGTTATTCAGGAGGCTGCGAAGGGAGGATTGCTTGAGCTCAAGAGTTTGAGGCCATGATAAGCCATGAATGTGCCACTTGGGTTACAGAGACCCTGACTCAAAAACAACAAACAAAATAACTTTCATTCTAGGTGAACTAGTTAAACATAGTGAAAAGAACTGCTGTTTCCCAGAGCACAAGTATACAATAAACAAACCATGCTACGAACAGTAGCAAGTGTAACTCCAGTAGAGTCCAACTATGCAATTTAAGCTTGTATTTGAATATATTATGAGTCAAGTCACATACCACAAAGCAGAGAAACTGCTAAAGCCAGGCATGAAATGATTTAGCCTATAACCAGGTATTAATCTCATATCCTAATACCCACGTTATAATAGGATTTCTCTGAAGTTACTTAACAAGCCAAATCACCTGGCAAGCCTTTCACTAGATTTCAAATATCTCTAAGTAATAATGACCTTTTAAGCACTGCGGTTTTCTGCATTTTTATGGTCAACAGACTAAATATATTTGCAGATATTTTTAAAAATGTGCATGCATATAATTTGCAAACAGCAAAAATAAAATCTCTCTCACATCAAGAAGCTTGATCACTGGAATGACTTCTATCTGCCCACACTGCACTTTTAATTCTATTTATGTAATGAGATTAACTGTGTTACCACAATAGGAAAAGCACGGATCAACCAGCTATCACAACTTCAGGGACTAATCTGATGGAAAAAATTCACAGCCATGGAATTAGGAACCTTACTTAGCCTTCCGCTGTCTGAACTATCAAAAGTGTCCCCAGCGGAGGCAGTTCTCTCACCGTAAGCACTGAATATCTGAGGAGGAAAAAAAACAAGAGGGGCCTAAAAGAAGGGGAGGAAAGGCCAGGAAGGGCCGTGGATAGGGAGGCAGAAAAGATTCTCTAAAATGGTCCTTTGTGGCACAAGCAATGTATGTGAGAAGATGGCCCATAAAGAAAATGACCTTTTATTATAAAAATGTGTAAGCCTAGGTAAACCATAGAGAAAAAAAAAGTCAATTTCAAAACCCACCACCACGCTGCACAATCCCCCACTGCATCCAGGCATGGCTGTGCCTTTATGAAGGCCAGAGGCACCAAGGAGCACAGCGTGGCTGTAGGCGTCCACTAGGTCAACACACAGGGCACTGGTAGGGAGAGCAAGTGACGAGGAGGGAGAGGGGGCCAGACCAGCGCCCTGTCCATGGAAGAGGCGTTTTCCAACTTGACTAAGCTCAAAACACCAATCAGCTTCTGTCTTCACCATTCAGCCCTACTCCCCACCAACACCACCCCCTCACTCCCTGCCCGACCCCGTACTTGTCACCAAGTCTGTTGATTTCACCTCCGTAAAGTTTTGGGAAACATCCCATCCTTTCTGGATCACTAAGTAAAGGAAAAGGGCTACCGAGCATACAAACTAGATACCCGGTTCATCTTTCTTTTTACATAATTTCTGATTCTTAATGATGATTTCTAAATACCAAATCTCAGATTAAGCAAAGAGTTGCCATAAATAGCCTCATCTAATTTGCTTATGGGATTTAACAGTGGAAGAAGACATCAAGAAAACATGACAAAAATAGCTTGTTATTCCAAAAAGAATTAAAAGAGAAAATTCCAGAAACCAAAAGAGTCCTTATAGAACTTTCAATGTCTCTATAGTAGAGATGATGTCCTTCTTATTTTAAAAATGCATGTATTAAGAAATAGTAAACATCTACTGATTGTTTAAACATGCATGAACTAAATATTAGTGTTAGCACTTATACAGATACTTACAAATCTAGACGAGTTGTCATTCCTTACAGTTTTGGCATTTCCAAAAGCTAGTAGGAAAGAAACAGATGTACAGTTAAAGTTGAAAAATAATTATTATTATTTCAAGGAAAAAGATAAAGCAAATACAGTATGTGACATCTAGGATTTCTGGAAACTATAACCTATAGCAATGACATTTCTGCCCCAAATTTCCATAGGAATAGACTTAATGGAAGCCTTAATAAATTTTCAAAGCTTCCATGTCTTAAATTCATAGAAAAAGACAGTCATTCCTACAAGTCAAGGTATTTTTTTCAAGTATGACTGTAAATTTCACCATATCTAATTCAACACCCTTGAACGCTTTTAGGGAGCAATCAATTGCATGGCCAGCAAGCACGGCTTCACGCAAGCCCACCTTGTCATCAGTGAGTAGGGATATTTCAGAGACTACTCACTATTATCAAAGGCTTTATGCAACTTGACGATGTCTCCAGATCATGGAAAAAGGCATGTGAGCCTTTAAATTGTTTAATTAATTTTAAAATAAAGCTATTTAAATGTGATGAATTATGTAACTCTCAAATACAAAAAAGATGAAGAGATTTTGAGTAGGCTAAGAATCCTACATCATTTCTTTCGTTTATGTCCATCAGAACTAGGGGAAACTTTCAGAAAACAAAGAAAACTGAACTGAGTGCAAAATGTAAGTCTGTTTCAACCTCAGCTGCTTCCAGGAGACAAATCCCCCAGGAACCCCCTTTTAAATGAGGGCATCTGAGAACCATGTGGTGACAGAACCCCAAGCATGGGATTGCCGTACCAGCCTAGAGGCCATACCTGCCAGATGCTCTGGAAGAAAAGCCTGGATGGCAAAGCCCATCTTTTTTTTTTTCAGTGAGATCAGATTTTATTTCTAAAAAATTTAAAGATGTGGGGTACAATTCAGGATTAGGTATACAAGTGGTCATTATACAGGTAAAGTCTGGGTCTCCCTTTGGTCCTCACTTCGCCTGGTTTGAGATCAGGTACCCTTATTGATGTTATGTGTCTCCCCCTCCCTCCCCTGTCAGTTTCCAGCTACTGCCAATCCCTTTCTTATAGTATTATGATAAATGTTCAGGGATCACTTATGAGTGAGAACATGTGGTACTCTGTTCTTTGTTCCTGTGATAGATCACTGAGTATTATAGACTCTAAATCTGTCCAAGTTGCTGTGAAGCCCAAACTTTTGTCCTTTATGGCTGTGTGACAGTCCATCGTGTGTATGTACCACATTCTTTTTTTATACAGTCCAGTTTCAATGGGCAGCTTGGTTAGTTCCATGTTTTTGCTATTGTGAAAAGTTCCTCCAGGTATATTCCCAGAAGGGGGATTGCTGGGTCATATGGTAGGTTAATTTCTAGTTCTTTTAGGAATCATCACACTGTTTTCCATAGAGGTTGAACTACTGTGTATTCCCACCAGTAGTGTAGAAGCCTTCCCTTTTCTCCTCATCCTCGCCAGCATCTGCTGTTGTTTGTTTTATTAATGACGGCCATTCTTGCCGGGGCTAGGTGGTATCTCAATGTAGTTTTGATTTGCATTATAACCTATCAAACTTCGGTGCACAGGCCAATCACATGAGAGTCATATGAAAGTGCAGACTCAGGTTCAACAGATCTGGGACGGGATATGAAACTCCCCATCCTTACCAAGCCCCCACCTGCTCAGGCTGTATGGGATCCAGGGGCCACACGGCAGCCAATAGGGACTAAAGAATGCAGAAAGATCAATCTCTGGGTCTCTGGAAGGCTCCACAGAGTCTTCAAGTTAAATGGGGAGGAGAAGATTAGAGTAACCAGCATCTAAATAGAACTGAGAGCTCATAGCTGGTCCGAGTTTTGAAAGCCGGAGTGACAGTGTGTGTTTGTGTAGAAGCTAACTTTGAATATCCAGCAATCAAACCTGATATGTTCCATTTTGCATTGGGTGGCTTCTTATTGTTTTTTATTAAAAAAAAAAATAGTTGGAGCCAGGCTCAGTGGCTCAGCCTGTAATCCCGCGCCTTTGGGAGGCTGAGGTGAGTGGATTGCCTGAGCCCGCGGGTTCGAGACCCGCCTGGGCAGCGAGACCTCATCTCTACAATAAATCAAAAAATCAGCTGGGCGTGGTGGCGCATGCCTGTAATTCCAGCTACTCGGAAGGCTGAGGCGGAAGGATCGCCGGAGCCCAGCGGGTCGAGGCTGCGGTAGCCGGGAGTGGCCACTGCACTCCAGTCTGGGCGACAGAGTGAGACTCCAACTCAAAAAAAAAAATAGTTAGTCCAAGCTCAGTTAAGACAAAATTTACAGAGTCAACACAGGCAAAGTTCTTTGCCTTAGAGATGCTGCTTGGGCCTGACAGATCCCTGACAGCAAATTCGCTCTTGGACAGAAAATAAGCTGAGAAGCGATAAAGAGTGGAGAAATCTGCACACCAAAAATACTCAAAGAAGGGCCAGGCTTGGTGGCCCATGCCTGTCATTCCAGTACTTTGAAAGGCCAAGAAGGGAAGATCACTTGAGGCAAGGAGTTCGAGACCAGCCTGGGTAACATAGTGAAACTCCATCTCTACCAAAAAAAATTTTTTTTAAATTGGGCATGGTGGCACATGCCTGTTGTCCCAGGTACTCGGGAGGTTGAGGTGGGAAGATCGCTTTAGCCCAGGCATTGGAGGCTGCAGTAAGCTATGATCATGCCATTGCATTCCTGCCTGAATGACAGAGTAAGATGCTGCTCCATCAAAATTAAAAGTTCAATAATTAAATAAAACAAAAATACACAAAAAAAGATGCTTGCTGGAGAGGTCCCCCATTCTTATCCTATGCCCACTGCCAGCTGAAGGGCTTTTCCTAAATGCGACCCTGGTAATGGTGTGCACTGACCTAGTTACCAGGAAGACCAGGATACTGCTTGTGTTTTCATGGGCTAGTCCTTCATGGCGAGTGTGAACACACAGGGCTGCCAAGCTAACCAACTCGTACAGCCTCACGTCCAACCAGAGATGTGGATGCACACAGGACAGTTTATCGTGGCTTGAAGGTCAGGGGCAAGCAAAGGCATTGCTTCAAAAAAGTTTACTGAGGGCACCATTTGCAGGCCACAAACCATCTTTTCATCCAACAACTCTGAGTTGCACATTGCTAAACACAACCCTAAACACTGAAGTCTTTTGTTGTGAGCCACAAAAGTAAAAACAAGTGTTCCATTATAGAACACTCAAGACACATTCCTCAATTGTTTCTTCTAAGATCATTGTTCTAAATATTTCATTTACAGTAGCAGCCCCCACCAAAGTGAAGCATTCCCATGGCAGATGATGCCCAAGGCAGACACGGCCTCCACTTCCTGCACGGGAGCCTACTTCCAAAAGCTACCCCATAAAGAGGCAGATTCTGGTCACAGATGCAAGCGATGGCTTCCTACAGCGAGCCTTGCTTCCATGGCAGCAAGCTTAAAATGAGCAATACAGGAACACTGCACATGGACATCCCCCAACTTAAACCAAGGCCGTGAATACAAAATCAAATACCGGAACAATAAAATGAAGAGACACCACTTTCCATGACAGATTCTTCATCAGTTAAGGTACTAAAGGGAGAAAACTTCAAAAACAACCTAAAGGATAACCCAGCCTTTGCTTTTTTCTGTCCTGCTATCCAAGGGATAGAGACATGTGGTATCTCCTTGGCATAAACCAATACACTGGAGCACAGAGGTGTGTCTCGGGTCACGGTGAATGCTCGGCATTCAGGAGCTTCTCTGAGAGGCAAGGAGAGGTTGAGTACACGGTCACTGGGCAGAACTGTGTCCCTCTATACTGGGGAGGTCCCCGCCTGCCCTGTGTTAAATCTTCCACGACTTAGTCTAAAAGCTTACACCAAACTTCTCCCTTAGCCCAGAGATTCTACTCATGGGTGGTTTTGACACCCAGGGGGCATCTGACAATGTCTGGAGATACTTTCACCTGAAACAAATAAACACAGGGGTGCAACCAGCACCCAGTGAGTAGAGGTCAGAGACCCACAGGACAGGCCACTCTGCAAGGCACAGGATGGCCCTCCACAGCAAAGACATGTGTGGTCCAATCAAGAGTGTCCAGGTTGAGAAATCCCACTCCACATCACAAGGATACAGTATAGTAAAGACATACTGTGATACAAAGCTCCTTCAATGGCTTGCCACAAACAGGAAAAGGCTTTGGCTTACTGCTTCCAGTGCCAGAATAGTTTATTCTAATGGTGTGTGCCATTTCTCAAGGCATTATGGGAGCTCAACTCTGGCTTCATGTTCTGACAGTGTTATTGGACGTACGAGGCCCTAACCATCCAAGTGAGAGTACTGGGAGGTGGGGGTAAGGAAGGTTCGATGAGGTCATGGGGGTGGGGCCCTTGTGGCAGGATTAGTGGTCTCAGGAGGAGAGATGCCAGAGGGCTCACTCTAGCACAATGTGAAGGTCATGTGAATACACAGCCACCTACATGCCAAGGGAAGAGACCTTGAAATGAAGTCCACCTGGCCGGCAACTTGATCTTGAACTTCTAGCCCACGGAAGTTTGAGAAAACAAGTTCTGCTGCTTAAGCTACCCAGTCTGTGTACTGCATTCTGGCGGCCCCAGCCGAGTAACAGAGAGCTAACCGGACCAGTCAGGCTCAGGCTTTTCATGGCCCTGGAAAAACTGGGTCTTGTGAGTTTCCCAGACAACAGAAATAATCAGCCCCAGGTGCTATCCTGAATAATGAAACAGCACTGCACCATCAAAAGCAAATGTCAGTTGCAAATGTAAATAATTCAAATAAAAACTGAATGAGGAAAATTAACTGTTCACCACTGTACTGCACTCTTGACTCCATAAAAAACAAAAAATGAGAGCGCCGAATCCTAACCACTAGACCACCAGGGAACCGGCCAGGCTCGGTGGCTCAGCCTGTAATCCTGCACCTTTGGGAGGCTGAGGTGAGTGGATTGTCTGGGCCCGCGGGTTTGAGACCCGCCTGGGCAGTGAGTCTCATCTCTACAATAAATCAAAAAATCAGCAGGGCATGGTAGCGCATGCCTGTAATTCCGGCTACTTGGAAGGCTGAGGCAGAAGGATCGCCGGAGCCCAACAGGTCGAGGCTGCTGTGGCCGGGAGCGGCTACTGCACTCCAGTCTGGGCGACCGAGTGAGACTCAACTCAAAAAAAAAAAAAAAAAAAACCAAACAAACAAAAAAATGAAATAAATAAATATGGTGGCTCATGCCTGTAATCCCAGAAATTTGGGAGGCCCGGGAGGGAGGGCTGCTTGAGTCCAGGATTTCGAGACCAGCCTGAGCAACACAATGAGACTCTCTACAAAAAATTTTAAAAATTAGCCAGGCGTGACAGTGTGTGCCTGTAGTCCCAGCTGCTCGGGAGGCTGAGGCAACAGGATCACCTGAGCTCAGGAGGTCGAGGCTATGGTAAGCCATGATAGTGCCACTGCACTCCAGTCTGGATAACATAGTGAGACCCAGACTCCAAAATAAATAAATACATAAATAAAACAAAATAACTCGAAAAAGGACGCTTGCTGGAGAGGTTCCCCCTCATTATCCCATGCCTACCGCCAGCTGAAGCACTTTCCTAAATGCACCCTGACAATGGTGTGCACAAACTTAGTTGTCCGGAAGACTAGGGCAGTGCTTGTGTTTTCATAGGCTGATCCTTCATGGTAGGTGTGAAGTGCTGTCACAGTGCTGTCAAGCTCACCAACTTAGACAGCCCCACGTCCAACCAGAGAGGTGGACACACATAGGAAAGTCTATCATGACTTGAAGGTCAGGAGCGAGCGAAGGCATTTCTTCAAAAATACTGCATTCAGGTTACCATTTGCAGACCACAAACCATCTTCTCATCCAACAACTCTTAAGTCGCATTGTGGGAAAGCTCCCGTCCCACAAGTTAACATTCCCTCCTCCAAGCACGTGACGCCAGAAGTTCCAAGCACACAATTTATTTGCTCCACAGGTCCTGGTCTCAACCTCTTCCATTCTTTGCTCTTCTGGAACACCTCCAGCCCACCAGGCACTTCTTGAAGGGTCCCAAAAACAGAATCTACTGTCCGAGTCACCCAGACACATCACAAACACAGAGTCCTACCTTCCAGGACCGGGTTGGACTGCAAAAGCTGCTCTTTGACTTGATTGACTTCTGCTCCTTTTCCACAAACAGCTGCCACGTAGGACATAACAAGCTTGCTGGCCTCTGTAGGGAAAAACACGCCACATTCATCAATCGGACAGATTTACATCTTTTGCCAGGGAGAGGGTATTTGAGGCAGAAGACACACTAATAGTACTTTCAAATGCCTTTATTCCTGGGTGTTTGGGAATTTTTAAAAATTTTTGGAAGCTTTAAAAAACTTTTTTCAACATTTGTGCTTTCTATTCAGTGACATGTCACTAATTCAGATATAATAGGACTTGTGCTTAAAGGTGATTGCTGGGCTGTTAAAAAGAAATGCTTAGTAACATGGCCAACAGGAGTGATCATTTACACACAATTACTATACTGTATCAATGATTCAAGGCAAAAATAACTTGGTAACCTGGGTGGCTTTACCAAATGAATTTTTAAAGTTTAAAAGAACTGCTGGGCTAGCATGGTGGCTCACACCTGTAATCCCAGCACTTTGGGAGGCCAAGGTAGGAGAATCACTTGAGGTCAGGAGGTCAACACCAGCCTGGGCAATGTAGCTAGACTCCCATATTTACCAAAAAAAGAAAGAAAGAAAGAAAGAAAATTAGCTGGGTGTGGTGGTGCATGCCCGTAGTCCTATCTACTCAGGAGGTTGAAGCAGGAGGATTACTTGAGTCCAGGAGTTTGAGGCTTCAGTGAGCTATAACTGCACTGATGCATTCCAGCCTAGGCAACAAAGCAAGAACCTGACACTTAAAAAAAATAAAATAAATAAAAGAACTCTTCTTTCTCAAATATATGTTCTAAACCAAACTGATTTGCTCTCAATTACATCAAATGAATTACTTATGAACTCAATTCAAAACCTAAGCAGCTAATGTAAGGATTTAGCAAGAAGAAACACTCCTGCAGAGCACAGTGGTTTCAACAGGCCTCAGCAGTAGCCCCAAAAGGTAAACTGCCACAGAAGAGGCCACGTGAGGCAAACAAAACTCTCAGCTCCAGCCGGGCCAATGGACAAACACATTTTCGGCTGCCTCATTTTTCCCCATCAGTCCGTCTCCTCTCAGCCTGTGCCTCCCATCACCTGATTCCCTATTGCTGACTTCTGAGGAATGTTCATAGATATGCAAGAAAAATGAGGCCCAAGGTCAAATGAACTTGGAGCCCCAGAGAGTGAGAGGCAGGGAAACCGGTTTCCTCATCACGGGGCTCCCCAGAGCCCTTACTATGACAGTGTATGTTGCTGACTCTGGAGAAGACTCTAGGATGCTGCATTCCCCTCCTTTATGTGCCACGGAATCTGTTTCCCACTGAGCTGTGCTCATCAGTTGTTCTAATGTCCCATAACGAGGACCCAGGAAATGCTCGACTATTAGATGTCAGGAGGATGAAACACATTCCCTGGTCTGGGCAGTCAAGGTCCGGAAACCAATCGTTTCCACATCTTGCTTTGTCTCAAGTCTTCTATGGATAGGTGAGTCTTCCCCAGGTGTCAGCGATGGTCCTTCTGCTCACAGACATGCAGGGGCAATCTCAGCTTTGTCCATATTTTCATGGGAAGATCCTCAGGTGCCACTAACAGTCCCTCCGCCCAACTTTGACCTCATTCTCACAAGGAGACCTGAAGGTCAAGTCCAGTCCCATCCAACTAAATGCCACCACACCCAACTAACTTTTTTTTTTTAAGAGATGGGGGTCTCACTATGTTGCCCAGGTTAGTCCCAAACTCCTGGACTCAAGCGATGCTCCTCGCCTTGGCCTCTCAAATTACTGAGATTAGAGGGGTGAGCCAGCGCACCCAGCCTCTGAGACATTGTTCATGGCCAGAACAAGAGGGGTTCACTTTCTCTCAGGGTCACATTTGTTTGAAAATGGAGCCAAAAGCAGATCTCTTGGAATTTGGGTTGGGTTTACATCACCTGGCTGTTAAACTGTATATAAACCTACAATATGTACTGGCATATAAAGATGGATTAATTTAAATTAAATACAATTCAAGGATATAGTTCTCATTGTTTTAACAACTTATTCCTAAGTTGTTTAAGAGTGTCTACATTCAGATTCTTATCTTTGGGAATTCTGTTACTAGATTCATTTTAATAAGTCATTTTTGGAAGCTGGGATTAAGAGCAATTTTCTCCAAACAAAGCCATACTAACAGAGACAACTCTTATTATTTTGTCCTCTGACATAATGCTGATCTTTAACTCAAGTAGTTCATGATCTGGGCACTACTTTAGAGAAATGAGTAAACCCATAGGGATGAGTTGCAAGATCCAACATCATTTAAGGAGCTGTTTTCATAATATTTTACCAGATTGGAAACAGGAAATAATAGTTAGCTCATGAGGCTTTCTGTTTCATTTCCTCTTGGTTCTTTGGTGCTAAAGTTCAAGTAAATTTGCATCTGTATTCAAATATTTATCTATTCAGACAAATCAAATCTGTATGGAACAACCTTGATAAATGAAATATTATATTTCTGAAAAGAATCAAGAATTGAATATCATGCTCCATATTTCAAAGTCTATTTTTTTAACTATGGTGACTGTCAAAAATACTGACATTTTTAAATGGCAAAATTGACATTTTAAAATGGCAAAATATAACAGCATTGCTTAGAATCAGTTCTTGGTTCAACATTTTCTCTAACTCATAGATACCTCACATATATAAATTTATGTACATCCATATGTTTGAGTGTAAACTGAATCCTAATATTCATTGATAATTGAACGAACAAAATATAAGGTCTTTGGGGTCAAAATCTCTACTCCCCAGAAAACTGGAGAACATCTAATGTTTAACACATGCCCTGCACTATGGACAAATGGCCTGTAGACCAAAATTAATTTCTACAAAGAATGGAAAGGGGTTATAGATGACAGTTTATGGTTATGGGGATTTTGAAGTCATGTAACGATTTTAAAGTCCAGATACACGAATTCTGTATTCTCTGACACATGCACTGTATTGGGAATAATATATGTTATATATTATTATATGATTAGCACTTAAGGATAGAATCATATGAATTGACATATAGTAATCCGTAAATGAAAGAAAGCACTGTCAAATAGCAGGAGGTGAATGCGAAAGGGGAAACATTTCAAAGAAAGACAATTGCAATCATGAGGACAAAAGGTTGGGCGTCTCACTCCTAAGACATCTAAGCCTGTGCATGTGACCTGCAGAAGCTGTACATGGTTCAGTCACTGAGTCCAGAAAAAAAAAAAAAGGACATGTGTGAGCAAGGCTTGTTCTGAGCTTTTTTTTCATAGAGCTTCTAATACATTTATCCCAGAGTAACAGATATCTCCTTCGTAGATACATATGTCACATGTTGGTCACACAGGTCCTGTGGCATATAGAGAGAGCCACACATTTTATTCACACACTCTTGTTATATTTATCTTTTACCGCTCTATCTCCTTGCTTAAGATACCCAAGTTCTTCTAGGGACTGAGCACAGATCTGGTGGTTCAGAGACCTAAAGAGTAAGAATGCCTAAGTCCATGAGGCCACGTTTGTGTACAATGAAACAAGCACTCTAGCTGGGCATGGTGGCTCATGCCTGTAGTCCCAGCACTTTGGGAAGCTGAGGAGGGAGGATCACTTGAGGCCAGGAGGTTAAGACTAGCCAGGGTAACATAATGAGACCCCCATCTCTACAAAAAATAAAGTAAAATTAGCCAGGTGTGGTGGCTTATGCTTGTAGCCCCAGTTACTTGGGAGGCTGAGGGAGGAGAATCCCATGAGCCCAGGAGTTCAAGGCAGCAGTGAGCTATGATTGCACCCCTGTAGGCCAGCCTGGGTGACAGAGAAAGACCCTGTCTCTAAAAACAAACAAAGATACCAACAAAGCACTTTGGTACTTAGAGGAACCCCCTTTCAGCAGTCTCGAGTCTGCAGGGCTGCAAAATACCCCAGCCACAGCCCTCCCAAATGGGCCCAACAAGCAGCGGAGAGCTGCTCCATTGGAGTACCAGAAGCATGAGTCTTGCAACGAGAGACGCGGCCTCTGCTCCAAGGGAAGTCACCACTGGCCACATTTTGATTGAAATAAAAGTGTCTGTCACCTGCTTCTGAAAGAGGGCCACAGAATCTCTGCTAATTCGCATAAAATGTGGATGGACATCTCACATGGGGAACAAATAAAACAGAAGCTCACTACATGTTGGCCTTGAGCTCACTTAGCTAATCTGCTTTTGACGTGGGTATTTTCAGCTGTGTGAAACGATGTTTAGGCTACAATAAGTCAGTGGCACCTCTGTCACGGGCCAAGTCGGAGAACCATCACAGATGTAAAGTAGGATAAGGTCACTTGGGATTTAAAGCCAAAGGTCTTGATGAACAAGGCAGGCTTCATCATTCTTCTAACAGACAGCCAAAGAGCTCTTAGAAACTGAAGTAACTGTAAAATTAGAAACCAAACACCTTAAAATGTTTTCTAAAATCGGGCTCATCTTCTCAGGCCCGGAGGTTGACTCCCATGCTCCTGGAAATGTAATTCTGATGGTTTCCTCATGTTCTGCCTACCCCCCTCCAGAGGTTTGAAGTCTCTCCACAAACTATCTGCATCCACGGTAGCGAACTGCAAGGTCACTGCCTAAAAATACTCGCGTGCTTTTATGAGGCCTGATGCATTTTTTATTTCTTACAGCAGTAATGAATTAAACAGCACTCCAAAGGACTCAGAGAGTTCATGTCTGTCCCTAAGTGCCCATGTCATGTAACCCTGCAGCTTCAGAGTATCTCCAATGTTTACGACCAATAAATAACATCATCACAGTCAGGAGAGTTTATGACCCAGTTAAATTAATTACTTCCTATAAAATAAGCCCCCTGATACTACACAGTGGTTCTATATAAACCATTAAGTAAAAATTCTTATTGAAAAGAGATATCATGTGACAAGTACACAACACATTCCAAGCCCTCAAGAAATGTTAATCTTCTTGTATTTATTAACACAAAATTTTTAATTTTTAATTTTTATTTTTTTGAGTCAGGGTCTCACTCTGTGGCTGAGGCTGGAGTACAGTGGAGCCATCACAACTCACCACAGCCTCAACTTCCTGGGCTCAGGCAATCTTCCTGCCTCAGCCCCAGAATAGCTGGGACTACAGGTGCATGCCACCACACCCAGTTTTTGTTATTTTTTGTAGAGATGAGGTCTTACTGTATTGCCCAAGCTGGTTCTCAAACTCTTAGGCTCAAGCGATCCTTCCACCTTGGCATCTCAAAATGCTGGGATTACAGGTGTGAGCCACCATGCCCAGTCAAAGTTTTTAATAACTACATGTACACAAAGCAATTTTAGTGAATAAGAGGATGTGACATTGAAAATGGCCTGACATCCCTTTTCTGCTCAAAATCGAGATGAAATCCCCCCTCCAAATTCCTCAAGATACCGGGCACAATTTCTGTATTATCTTCCATTATTTTATTTTACTGTAAGTAATCTCTCAGTGAAACAGAGACTTTTAACAACATGCAAATTCTAGGCTTTACTCCTTTTTTTTCTTTTTTGAGGTGGAGTCTCATTCTGTCACCCACACTAGAGTACAGTGGCACAATCACAGCTACTGCAGCCTCAACCTTCTGGGATCAGGCAATCCTCCCACTTCAGCTTTCCAGCTGAAACCACAAGTGCGTACCGCCATGCCTGGCTAATTTTTTTACTTAACTATTTCTTGTAGATGAGGTTTCACCAAGTTGCCCAGGCTGGTCTGGAACCCCTGGGCTCAGGCAATCCTCTCACCTCATCCTCCCAAAGTGCTGGGGACTACAGGCGTGAGTCACTGTGCCTTACCTCTTTTCTCAATTTGATAGCCTGATGACAATTAAAGTCCTAATAAAACCTTAAGCAATTTTTATGCCACTGCTTTCAAAAAGAAAGGCAAGTAGAAAAAGATATGAGTAAATCAGCAAATCACTGCATGTCTCCACAGGGGCTGAGAGAGGGCATGCTGCTGGATCTACGAGTGAAAAAAAGGACTCCCAGGAGATGCCAGATGAGGGCCCAGTGTGTGTTTGAAAGCTGCAGCCTTGGGAGGAATATCCACCTCCCAGCGCAAGGTGTCTCAGTGATCAACACAGCTAAAGCACCCAAGACTGTAGTTCATCCCAGGCCTAGGAAGTAAGCTCAGAAACAAGACACGTGCTTCGAGTGGCCTTTAGGCAGTGTTAGTCCACGTTTGGCCCTCGGACCAGCACTACTCAAAGCTGGCCAGTCCACAGACTCCTACTGGTCTACACATGAGAGCAGGTTTCTAAGAGGTCTGCAACAATTCAGTCGTTTGTTATATCTGTTGAAACTTAAGTAAAAACATAGGGCTTCAATTGCCTTATGTGCTCTTTTATTTCTTTTTTCTAGTTATCGGTCACCAACAGATTTGGAGGGCGTAGGCCTGCCCAGTGCTTCAGAGAACCCGGGAAGCGCTGCTCCACTCTCCGTGGCAGCCTCCTCCAGCCTCCTACCTGAAGCTGCACCGTCTTGTACATGCCGTACACAGAAGGGTCCCATCCGAGGGACAGGGGACCGCCCTGGGAAGCAGCCATCCACTCTCCAGCTTACGACAGACGACAACGGGAGTCCAAGAAGGACTGAATCCAGGGAAGACAACAGGGACAAAAGGGCTGCAAGTAGGGACTGGGGCAAGTTACTGACTAGAAAAATACCAAGAGGAGGAAACTTCCAGAATGAAGAATGAACGCCAAGCCTCAATAGAGTTCTACCAGAGAAAGCCAGTGTCATTTACTTTTTTTTTTCCTAAGAAAAAATGAATGCCAATCCTCTGAAACAGCACCAGCAATCTCCACTAAGTTTTTCACAGGGAAGACATATGAGCCCACCAGCAGCCAGAATCTAGCTCCAGGAGAAAGCAGTAAAGGTAACACATCTCTAAGAAAGAGGATGCCATACACTGATGTGGCTAATTAGTGGATACACCATCTTCTTGGGGAACTCCTGCTCCACAGGAGGTAAAGAATGGCCAAGACTCACTAACCAATGACCACAATCCACAGCTGATGACTCACCAGGGAACACACGGATACAATCAGAACACCCTACAAAAACCATACTTCACTAGGCACAAGGAAGATTGTCTAAAAAACTGGGAAAAAAAAGAAACTAAGGAGGCTTAGGAATTATTTTATTAGGAATATTTTCATCTCTCCTTCCAAGTGAAAATAAAAATGCAGCTATGTGAAATGGACAGGTGGGCTTGCAGGTATCAACGAACAAGACTGCAGGTGGGGGCGGGGTGGGCATGAGGTACAATACAAAGGCTGCAGCAAAGGACAAAGCTTTCAACTTGCCTTGACACCATTTTCATTGGTCACTCTGGTGACAAACAAGAAGCTGTACTGCCTCTGAGAATTAGACTGTTTCTCATGAAAGAACTGGTCAATGGCAAGAAAGAAAGGGGTAACAGAATTCTCCCAGGATGCCATGTCCCAGTAAAGTTTCTACAGGTACAGAGAGATCTGAACAGCCAAAGGCTGGTGTTTGTAAAGAGGAACTGGGGGTAGCCAAGAGAGGAAGAGAGAGACCCATTAGACATTGCTACAAAGAGTCCTCAAGGGAGACGATGGTTGGTGGCTTAGACTCCATATGAACACAAGTAAAAGGAAGAAACAGCCTGGCAGGAGATGTACTCTACAGGCAGAATTCACAGGATTAGAAAATGGATTTGTATGGGACACATAAAAAAATAAAAATTAAAAAAAAAACAAGGACGACTGTGACATTTCTAGTTTGATAATTAGGTTGACTAGTGGCCTCATTTACTGAGATCGGGCAGTTTTGTTGTAAAAAGGGAAAGAGAAATGAAGGGTTCTGTTTTGTATCTACTTAGTTTAGATGCCTACAAGACACTGAGTAGATTAGCTGGGTAATCAGACAAAAGGTACTGGCTCTAAACATGAATGTAGAAAGCCCTAACACAATCAGAGTATAGTTGAAATCACCTAAGGAAAGAGTACAGACAGATCAAGAAAAATGCCCATAACTAAGCAAATTCATAAAACATATTGGCAAGGTAGGATGTTTCCCGAACAGTGTGACCAAGACAAGAAGGGATTTGTAAGAGTTGATGTTCCTGCGACATGCTCTTATAAGCACACTGTGCTTTGTTTGTCACTGTGCTTGGATTTTGCATGTCGTTTGTATGTCTATGTGCATACATATGTATAGTAAAGAGTTATTGTTTATGTTCCCTACTAGACTGTGTAAACCTAGTAAGGGTACAGATGGTGCCTGACTCACCAGTGTATCACTAGTACCTAGCACAGTACCTTTCACCAAGTAGACACTTGGTAATTTTTTTATTGGATGAATGAATAAATAAATGGATATAACATAAAAAATCTTTGAAGAAAGGGGATGTTTAGCCCTAGGTAGATATGATGGTTGACTTCAAATAACTGAGTGGATGTTCTGTAGAAAAGAAAGTAGACTAATTTGGTAAGGTTCCAGATGGCAGACTTAAGACCAATGGGTAGAGGCAGAATTGAACTCTAGGTAAGGAAGACCTTTGTGAGCTGAAGATGAATGCCAAGTTTGGTGCGTCACCTTACAAAAGGAGTCTGTCTGATTGTCCCCCAGATGGTCTATAACCCAAACCCCTTCTAATAATACGACACTGTGCTTTCTGACCCTTAAGGTTCCCACATGCCAGTCCTCTTCCGTTTCTGCCCATCCAGAGGCTAGAACCCACACAACTCTGCAAAGAAAGGGTACAGTGTGCCTCCAAAGGGCTCTAGGACTCTTTCTTCAGCTGCATTGGGGTGCAGGAATTGGTAATGACAAGAAACATGGAGGAAGGAAAGACCACGTCAAAACAGATGATGAGCCTTCCAAGGCACAGGTCTTTCTATGAGTCTATGTAAAATGGATTTGCTCAGGTGATCAACACCTGTGGCAGATTTTCTTCTCACCATTAATAGGGATTCAAAATGTCTAAGACTGACCACTAAACAGCCATGCAAAATGGAAACATTTGAAATCTCACTTTTGCATCTTAAAAGAAATGATCTAATTCTTATCCATAAAACACAAGCATTTGACAGATGAAACATTACGGAAATACCATCTCACTTCTCCTCCTCCTCTTCCTTCACTGACTCATCAGTTCTATCATAAAAAGTTCACAGACAACAGTGGCCTTAACCTCTCCGAGTCTGGATTCAGAGAGTGTGGCTTGCTTGAATCTTTTCCAGGTTGCTGGACACCATCTGCAAAGTCATTCTCACTCAAGACCACCAATCACATGAATTGCTTTTATTAAGAGCATGAGAAAAAAAAAGTAACCCCTCTATTTTGGAGGCTGTTTTATGGAAAAGTTGCCAGATATCTAAAAAATACATACAAAAATCTAAATTCTTTAGGCTGCAGCAGAAAACTCTTGAATGAAATGTGAGCATTTTCCTGGTGCCTTCCCTCATTTTTTAAAAAAGATAGGGTGTGCCGATAAGCTTCTAAAACCTGACTAAGTTGGTATTCCTTGGGAGCAGTGATTTGATTCTGTCAAAGCACACAGGCTTTGATGTCTTGGAAGAAAGGTAAAACACCTTGCAGTACCCAGAAACTGTGCTAGAAAGGTCTAGCATCCAGCACTGGCCTCCCATATTGGTTGGAATAACCCCCTTGATAGATGCCTTGTTTCTCCACGTGAGAGTCGAGGCAAGGCCTTCCCAGAGAATATTCCGTGACCCTACTCAGCAGGCTCCTGCAGTGGCCCGGGAAGGTCTTGCTAATGAGGCCCCACCTGCCTTCTGTACTGTAGTCTCTCCAAGTAGCACATACCTTTCAAAAAGAAGAAGGAAAGGGTATTTAGGGATGGCCTTACCTGTTTTTCCCGCTCCACTCTCACCAGTGATGAGAATACACTGGTCTTTATCTTGATCTCGTAGGGACCTGTACGCTTCATCGGACAGGGCAAAGCTGCAGAGGGGTAATGGAAAAAAAGTCCTTAGAATAGAGCTCATTAGCATTAGCTTATCCGATGAACTTACCAGATGGAACATTATCAGATGGCCCTTAAAGGGCCACTCCAACATACATTGGATGGCAAGCTGAGAAGGCACATTTTTACTTCCTTCAGATTCTTCAAATAAATCAATAAATAAGCCCATCCATTGTGGTTCATGTTATCTTTTTCCATACACTCACTATTAACCAAAATGGTACTGATTTATGGTACTCTAAGATCCACTTTTTTCAACCTCTTTGGATTAAAATCTTAGTAAAACAGAAAACCAAGGAGAAAATGTTACATCTCACATCCACAACTGGATAACGTTGGGATTTTTTTAGGATAATTCACTGCAGTTACAATACAATAAGAAAAAAATATTTTGAAATATTAGAAAAATGACATCAAATACCAAATAGCTCATGTTACCACATGAAGCTACACAGGCAGAACTACCACCATTAGACAATGACTGAAATGCCAAGGTCCACCAGAGACAACATGGTACTTCCTACTGATTTGCCAGGGCTCTTATCCAGTTCTGGGCCTCACCCTACCATGGGATGACAAAGGGACGCAATCAAGCAAGGCCGGGCCAGTTCTCCTGTTGACTTTCCCCTCCTCAAAATTTACTAATAGGGGAAATGTTGCCACTTCTAACTAACTGAAAAATAGTTCTGATGATATGATAATGTATTTAAAATAGGTAAAGTCCCTCCTCTAATTCATGTATTAACAAGTATTTATTGAGGGTCCACTATGTGTCAAGAACAAGCTGGAAAGGCAGAAAGAATTCATACTCAGCCCTTTCTTTCATGAGGTCTCCATCAAAAGCAGAGGAGAAAGATACAAAGAGAAAATGGAACGCAACACATTAAACCCAATGATGAAGATATGTGCAAAACGCTACAGAAGAGGTCAGAAACATTGGCTCATGCCTATAATCACAGCATCCTGGGAGGGCGAGGCAGGAGGACTGCCTGAGTCCAAGAGTTCAAGACCTACCTGGGCAACATAGCAAGACCTTGTCTTCACAAAAAAAATTTTTTAAATGAGTCGTGCATGGTGGCACAAACCTGTAGTCCCAGCTACTCACGAGGCTGAGATGGAAGTATCACCTGAGCCTAGGGGGTCAGGGCTGCAGTGAGTCGTAACTGTACCACTGCATTCCATCCTGGGCAACAGGGTGAGACCCCAACTCAGGAGAAACAAAAACAAATACAAAAAAACACTGCAGAACAAGACAGTGACCTCAATGGGGTGGAGATTGGACTTGGAGAATCTTTGAGAGGTAGAAGTCCAGCCCTAAAGACTTTCTTAGCAAGAAAAATGATTTTTAGGTGAAAATAAAGGCCAAAACATCACAGTGGTAGGCTGAGGAGTTCTAAGGAGTCCCACCCTAGCTGGAAGGCAAAGTACAAGGAAGAGAGGGATGGGAGCCTCCCTGCAAGACTGCAAACAGGGAGCAGCAAAGACAGCAACACTCATCAAGTATCAGAATGTCCCCAAGTCCTTTATGCTCAGACATTTCAAATCTCACGACAAGATCTGCACAAAGCAAGGACATGCCTTGCTTTGTCACACAGTGGACTGTGACACAGTGGAGCCAGAACTGCCCCCTGCTCCAGGCCACAGGCACACAGCGTCTCTGAGTTTTAGACAGGCCACAGGCTACGGATGACTGCAGAAGAGAACATCTGGAGGCAGGAAGACAGGGGAGGGCCTAGGATATACAGGGAGAGTGCAAATGGGGCTGACCAGTCCACAGCAGGCAAGGCCTCCCTTCAGAAGGCCCGTGGGGCTGTTCATACCGACAATTCACCGAAGACGATGTATGAATACCAGGATTCACAATCGGGCTCCTCCGCACAGCTTTGCAAAGTATGTGTCAGCTTCCTAAAGAAACACGGTCTTGAGAGGCGAAACAGGAAGCCCACAGTGCCATTCTCAGGGGCGTCACAACTAGAACCCAGAAATACTATAGGCCATGTTCTTCCCCTCTCATCACGTTCCTTCACGGATCTTTCAGCAAATCTTATCTTTCAGCAAATCTTATCTTTCAGCAAATCTTATCTTCCAGCAAATCTTATCTTCCAGCTGGGCTACTGTGAGCCCCTTCAGGACCCTGCATGCAAATTCTCTAGGCGCATTTGTGGAATGAAAGCTTGCTAAAAGAAAAAGAAAGAAAGAAAAACCGAGAAAGGTACCTGGCGCCAGGGTCTTTTTCAAGGATCAGGTTGCTCCAGCTGGGTTTTTTTGCACCATGTTCCCTGACCTCTTTCTGCCCCTCAGAACCCTTTCAGTCACTCTCCACATTGCCTGAGACCAGCTCCAGCCGGGTTCAGGGTACCCCAAAGGTGGAGACGGCGTCGGCAAATGGGGGGAAGAAGAGAGAGAGAAAGAGAGAGAGAGAGAGAAAGAAAGAGACTGGACTCCGGTCTAGTGCAGAAGCGATGTGTGTTATTGGGAATTACAACGGGTCTTTTATACACGAAGTCAGATGTGGGAGGGGCGTCCCCCACCCACCAGAAACTTTAATCTATGAAAACTTAATCAATGATTGCCTTTAAGCCCTTTTCATATGATAATCTTAAAATCCCATAACAAAGGATAACCTAATCCGTGACTGACATATTCTATAAACCTTTTTTATTCTAAGCCGATTGATTTATGCCAATTTAAACAATTCTATAGGAGCTTAAGTATTTACTTTACAAACGAAAGTGGCCCATCCCAGAATGTTTGGAATGTGGCCCTGTCCAAAGTTCACAGTGGGCTACCTGCAAGTAACACAGCCGCATTCTTTCAACAAAATGGCTGTCTTCTAAAACTGTATTCTACAATTTACACCTTCAATAAATCCTAAGATCATGACCCAGAAGCCTGTGACCAATACTAAGGCTCTTCGATGTGACACGAGTTTGAATTATAAGTTGTGTGAAAGCCAAAACCGCAGTTTGTGGAAGAATGGGAGCAATGAGCTTCTAAAGTTAGCCTGTGTAAGTACCGATCTCAAAGTTCCTATGTTTTGAGCTCAGAGGAGCTTAATCTGGTTAGTGCTGAGTAGAAAGGGAGAGGAAATGGGGTCAGTAGCTCCTGAACGCATCCTAGTGGTCTCAGGGTCAACGGCCCTTCCTGATCCCTAACGCTCAGTGGGCCTCCGTGGCCGACTCCCAACACCACATGACCAAAGCCTTCCTCAGCTTTCTCTGGTGTTCTCGGTTTCCCCACCCCACCCCCAACCCAGGCATCCCTGCACAACAGGGATGGTGGGAAAAGAGCAAATGCAACTAGATACGACTCCCTGGGTCACAGAGCTACAACTCAAGTAGGTGACCTTGAGCAAGGCCTCAGACCAGCAGAACTTGGGTTTCTTCATTTACAAAGTGGGGGGGGGGTGCAGCCACAATATTTCAGAGAGCTAGATAAAAATATGGGAAGGTGCTGTGGAAGCTACAATGCCCTGAACAAATGTCAAAAGGTCTTCTTGTATTACAATTTGTTATGGACACATCTTACCCGCTTCGAGAGCACAAGCTCTTCTAGGGCGGAGCCATTCTATCTAACTCAGCTCTGTGCCATCCACAGAGCCATGAACATGAAAGATGACCAATACCAAGTCATCCCTGAGTGGATGAATGAATGAATGAATTTTTCTCAAAGCAATGGCGAAGTCACTTCTGGAGTGAGCTCCATGAAGAAGGAGAACATTAGGAAATTACTTTCTCCTAAGGCCTTCATGCAGGGAAACCTGGCTTAGATTATTCTTTTATTAATCTTCCTTCTCCCACTCCTCCAGCCTCCAGATGATGGTTCCGAGATGCCACGTTCATTACCATTGGCAAGAAATGCAGAAAAACATGTTACAGTAAGTACAAAGGAAGATTTCCAGTCACACATACTCAATGAACTCTTTTAGATTGTGTATTAGATTGTTTAATACAGGTCACTTTCCCATGCCCCAGGACTGTAATTTAGCATTATATTTATACTACTACTAGATCCAAAAGAATGCAAAAATTACTTCAAACATGAATAAACATATGAAGCACATGCACACACATACATGCACACATGAAAGGCTTTGTGAGTGTACCAAATAAAACCCCTTGTCATGGGTTTATCTCAAGCCAAAAATACCTACGGTGAATGTTTATTTTTTCATCTCTGTCCAGATTCAAATACTTACCTGCTGCCTCCAAAGACAAGGTCTGATTCATCTAAAAGAAGATTATAATTTTAATATAAGATAAATGCTAACTGGGCTGGGTGTGGTGGCTCACCTCTATAATCCCAGAACTTTGGAGACCGAGGCAGGAGGATTGCTTGAGCCCAGGAGTTTGAGGCCAGTCTGGACAACATAGTGAGACCTTGTCTCTACAAAAAATTTAAAAATTTGCCAGGTGTGGTGGTATGCGCCTTTAGTCCCAGCTACTCTGGAGGCTGAGGCAGAAGAATTTCTCTGAGTCCAGAAAGCAGAGGCTGCGATGATCCATAACTGTGTCACTGTACTCTAGCCTACCCAGGCTGAGTGAGACCCCAATTCAAAAAGAAAAAAAAGATTAAGGCTAAACGCGATATTTATTCTTTCAGGTCTCTAGAGAGCCACTGATTTCAGATCGATGTGAACATTTACCAGCTAAAATACTTAAACACTAGACACACACATCTCAAATACAGTATAAAAGTCATCATACTTATTTCTTATCAACACAGATCGTGACTTTACTTTCTTTAAAAGACACAAAGAAAGGCCTGGAAGAACACCAGCCCCCCCTCCTGATCTTTCTCCTCTTCCTTGCCGCTAACATGAGCACATCCCATCACCAGTGCCAACATTTATAACCATAAACTAAAACCACATGCCCGTCTTCTGAGCCACTCTGTAATTAAGAACGTTAAATACATCTCTAGAGAAGGTCTGAGTTAGAAACAGTTGTGACCATATGCTTTGCGTTATTTTGTGACC